CGCCCCCGCGCCGAGGGGGCGCCCACGCACGCCGCCGGGCACGGGCACGCAGCGCGTCGGCCCGCGGTGCAGAGCGGCGACTGCGAGCTCGCGGGGAGCGACTTCCGCGAGATTTACATCACAAAAGTTGTGAAACAGGTGTCACGGATCTTCATAATGATTTTTACCCGAAGTGTCTGGGACATTGTCACTGTTGTATATGTGATGAGTATCTGACCATCTTTCCTGCTAAGGCCCCTAGTTGGAGAGGTAGAGAAGGGGTGGGCCTTCATGTTGCGTGAAGAATTTTGGACTTATTTTTAAATACAGGGTCTCGCTATGTAATTCATACTGGCTTTGAACTCACTATGGAGATCGTCTTCCCTCAGTCTTTGGAGTACTGGGCCTACAGGTGTACACTGTACACCACCTCAACTGGCCATTGTGTGTGTGTGTATGTCTGGAGATTGGATCCAGGACCTTGTGCATGCTAGGAATGCTATATCCCTGAGTAACACCTCCAGCCTAACATCTTTATTTTTTTAAAGGGCAGAAAAATTTATTTCAAGAAGAGGAATGGAGGCATGGGGAATATGAATAGCACCTGGGAGACAGGAGGGGTCCTGAATGAGTTGCCAATGAGCTCACCTCTCAAAGGAAGTTTATAGAGCAAAATCATGATGTGGGTACAGTGTGGATCAAAACTGTGATTAGCCAATACAATTGCAACTATAGTTGTTTAGGTAATACTGATCTATTGGTAGCAAGGGTACATGGGCGACATCATTAACCTTGCTTGATCATCCGTAGTCTTAGTCCTGTGTTTAGTCTTAGCCTTCGAAGGTGGCTGTCCTAAGGAGATAATGGGAAATCTCAAAGGGTGATGCCAGTCATCTCGTAGGAAAGAAGGCAAAACTAACCATTGTGGCTTTACTCTTCAGAATTGCCTCCAGCCACAGTCCTGATGGATTCTCATCTTTTTCACTGACTCCCATGGAGACCCAACCCTGTCTGATGGCCTACCATATTTCTACCCAGTTTAGCTATCTATAATACTCCTTCCCCCAAGATATATCTTTTTTTAAAAATTATTTTTATTTTTATTTCCCTGCATCTGCCTAAGCAGGCTCTTTAATCCACCAAGAGATATCTTTAACTGCGGTTAAGGGACAGTTAGGGGAGAAGGGGCGTAGTTTCCACCTACTTGCTTTAAGCTGGGAAGGGTTTTTGTAGGGGAAACTTTAGTCAAAGTTTTCTCTAGAGAGCTAATCTAACGGGCTTTAGATAGAAGTCATGTAGTTTAGCAGTTATGAACTCTTTACAGAGTCGACCTGGTGGATCTTGGAAAATGAGTCTGGCACATTTATTGTTGGATCCATGATCACTTGCAGTTTGGCAGCCTCTGACTAACAAGAACTTTGAAATATAAAGTATAGCCAAAGAACTATTATTTCTTACCAACCACAGCTGTTTTAGTAGTTGACTCTCTCCAAGTATCCTGGTGGGACCTCCTAGATGATATAAGGGAAATGCTAGATGTCAAATGCTACTCTGAATTTGTGTTCCCCTGAAGTTGACTAATGAATTCTAAGACCTAGTACCTGTTTGTTTGTTTTTTTCCCACGGAACTAGAGATTGAACTCAGGCCCTTGTGCTTGCCAGGGAAGTGCTTATTCTACTGAGCTATCTCCCCAGCTTCCGAGTACCTGTTTTTAAAAGCCTTTTTATTGTAGTGCTGTGTAACCCACTCAGAGGAGGATGCATCACAGAAGAATGTAGCTCCATGAAGTTTCACTAATTGAAAACACATCCATATAACCAAGCACCCACCAAACCCTTTGTGTTTTCTTCCTGCCACTGTGCACAGGTGGTTTGTCTCTTAAGCTTTTTACGCTTTAAAATAATAAGCCAGGTAGAAAGAGATCTTATGCACCTTCACCCTGCTTCTAATGCTAACATCCTGCCTAACTGCAGTGCTGTATAGAAGGTAAGTGACATTGATGTCAGCCATAGACAGATTTTCTAGGTGTTTTTCCAAGCTTAACCACCTAGGTACCTCCATTCTTGTCCCCACTGACTGGTTTTGTGATTGTAGCAAAAACTTTCTCCTTTTTTTTTCTTCTCAATCTTTGATTTAGCAGCTGTGTACTTTCTCTTGTACAAAGCCTTTCTGGGGGGCCGGGGAGATGGCTCAGTAGAATAAGCACTTGCCTGGCAAGCACAAGGGCTTGAGTTCAATCCCCGGTTCCACAAAAACAAAGCCTTTCTGGAATACATAGCAGATCGGGAGTATCTTCCAATTCCTCTAACCAGAACAGGATTTTGGCTGCAGTGGGGCTGCTTCTTCTTGGAATTTTTTGCTTTCACCTTACCCTTTTTGCCAGTACCACTGGCAGAAGCCTTCTTGGCTTCAGGCTTCTTCACTTTAGTGTCTGGCTTCTTAGTTTTTTCACCTGCCATCTTGCAAGATGGAAAAGAGAACTGAGTTTTTCTGTAGGCAGATTTTTACCAGTCATACACTTAGTTTGTGTGTATAGTTCTGTACCATTTTGCATCTGCACTGTTATCAAGCTGCTGCTTTTATGTATTCTGGTAGCATTGCAGAAAACAGACTAAACATGGAAAAATAGCAGCGAGAAGTTTTAGGAGGCACTGTATTACTTTGGTGGGCTTCTGACGAGGATCGCTCCAAAAGAATCTGAGCCCTGCCCACTGGGATTTTGGAGCTTTTAAAGGAAAGGGAGCAGGAGAAGCACATAGGCCGATTTGGTGCATATGATTGGAGGGTTGGGTGACATCATGGGTTGCTAAGGGAGTTTAAACATTTCAGGCTACATCACAAGGCCATAAGTCATACAAAGCATGTGTTATACAGAGAATGAAGTGTCTGTTACATTTTAAGTTTCATTGCAAGGCCATCGGTTATACAAAGGCAATAAAGGTTGGGGAGATAGCTTCATGGAATAAGTGCTTGCCTTACAAGCGTAAGGTTCTGAGTTCGATCCCTGGTACCACCAAAAAAAAAAAAAGAAAAAAGAAAAAGGGGCAGTAAAAGCAGGTTTACATAACGGGAGAAGTGTTCTGTTATTAAGCCTGCCAGACGTGTCCACTTGGTCTTGGCAGCCATCTTGGGTAGGCTTTTATTTGAAATTTTAATTTTCCCTTTCATTTCTTCCTCTCTTAG